TTCAGGCGAAGCCTGGCGAACTGCACTCATTATAGAGAACAGGTGGTATTCTGAGTCGGAGGCTAGGTAAGGTCATCAGGGGAGCTAGACAGTGGGAGAGCCCCCGAGGACTGGGTGCTGGGGTGCTCCTGTGTTGAGACTTGGAGAAGATCAGGAGTGGCCAGTAAGGCTGAAGGGAAACTAGGAGAGCCTGTTGTACTGGCAGCCATGTGAGGAAAGCACTTCAAGGAGAAGAGATCTACTCTGCCAGCGCTGCTGGAAGCATTGATGGCATGAGCGGTAGAAAGCCGGTTGTAATTCAGGACTTGGTAGCCAGCGTTACTGTTTGTACTGTAAGAATTTACCATGTCTTCCTGAAAGTGTCCTTAGGAATGGGTGGAGGTTGTGACAGTTAATGTCTTCTGAATTATGGACTATGCCAGTCTTTCATCTTTTAAAATATATTTCCTGTTTATTTTCCTGAAATAACCCTTAAATGCAAAAAGGTGCAAAAAGTGAAGGCTCTTTCTAGTTATTTTATTGATATTCCTTGGTTTGTATCTAGAGATTCTCACATGCTGCCAGTGCAAGGTGTATTGGGGGAACTTACAATAGTGAAGATTTCACAGAAGCGACAGGGAATTATTGGCTCACCAGATATGTGGACACAGTGTGTGGGAGGAACTGCTCCGGGAACTATCTATCCCCTAAACCTGGTCTCCTTCCAGCCCGTTCCCAGCAATTGGCACCATCGTCCATTCGATGCTGCAAGCCAGAAATCTGAGTCATCATGCTGTCTCATCTCCCTTCAATCACCTTCACGCCTACAGGATCCTGCTGAGCGCTCTATCTGACACCCGTCCACATGTCTTCATTTCCACGTTGCTAGCAGCCTATGGTGGGCTACCGTCATCTCTTGCCTGGATTACTGTACTGGCCTTAGCGAAGAGTCTTCCCAGATCCTCTCCTGCTCTTACAGCTATTGTCCACTCCGAAGACCAGGTTATAGTTTTAAAACTAAGTCTGATTTTGTCACCTTCCTTCTTGGATCCACCCAGTGGCTTCACAGGATAAAGGCTGGAGGAATCCTTGAAGGGGCTGTGAGCCCGTGCGCCTGCTCTGCCCTCCAGCCTGCCCTTTCTCCGCGTTACACTCTTCACGGCACTGTGCTCTTTAGCGTCAGAATGTTGATGTTCACTTGCAGTTGTGCAGCCTTGGAGTATTTTTGTTGGATCCCTAGTGGATTGTAAATCCCCCAGGAGCCGTGACCTCCTTTGCTCACTATTGCACCTGGCATACCTTGGTGTCTGGCACATGGAGACACTTAGTAGGTGTGTTTGGAGTGAATTAACTTTAGCACATAGTAAGGCAAGTGGAAAATGGAATCTTCCTTCGGAAAAATGGGAGATTTTACGTTACAGGGACGGCTCTGGTGGGAATGGCTTATTTGGCCATTCCTGCCCCCAGCTCTGTGTCCTTGCTGCGTCCTCCTTACAGTCACTCCTGACGTTTTTCTCTCTCTTGGGCTCTACAGCTGTCTGCCTGCATATGGTGCGATAAGTGGAGGTTCTGGCTAGTGGTGCTTTACTGGGACGGTTTTCTGGTACCAACTGCACCAGTTTGGCTCAGACTCTTTAGGAGGAGTTCACCTCTTCTTGTTACCTGTAATCTTGCCTCCCTCTGACTAGGCATTTTGGTCTTTTCTTTAATCTTTCAGAAAATCCTCAGATAATTTCACTTGCCTATTCTTCTACCACTTTCCTTTTTCAAGGCCTTGACTTTTTCTTTGGCTCCCCTAAATTCTATAACCTGCCCCGAAGATGGGAGTATGTGTCCTGTGAGAGTTTCTGGACAGACATAGCAGACATAGACCATCCCAAAGACTAAGATGGTGCCAACAGCAGCGTTCCCAGTTTCTTTGTCGCTTTTGAGTGCTGGCAGGTAAGGAAGAGCATTTCCTTTAGTCTTCAGATGTGATGGGTGCTTATTCAACTGCAGCATGAACTTGCTCACGAGATTTGAGAACAGTGACAGGGTAAATGGCTGAGTGCCACACCATCATGATTTAGAGTTGGTTTCCTTGATGTGTCTTTGTCTGTATCTCTCTCCCTGCACGTAACAAGCCAGTCCCATATTTCTTACTGTCTTATCAAGACTTCAATTATTTTGCTGCAAAAAATCAATTTTTAGGCTTTTTCTTATTAATTGTTTAAAAAATCCTTAGGGTAGGGCCAAAGTATTTTAGCATCAATTCGTTCATTCTATACTGTATTTTTTCTTAAACAGTGGTCATTGAAACCAAAATAACCTGAGATATTTCTCTCATTTTTTTTTCCCTTAGAAAACTGCCTTATAAGTGGCTGAGGCCAGGTGTAAATCATAAATAGATACATACATGCATGCATACGTACATATAGACACATACTTTTTTGTTTCCTGTGCCTGATTAGAAATTAAGTTGAGAAGTTGTTTTTTGTTTTAGGTGAAGGCTGTTGTGTTACTTTCTATGAAGCAGAATGTTTATTTTCTCTGGTATAGGACTTTAAAGATCAAATTCTATATTTTAAAAACTTGTCTAATTTTATGATTGTTTATAAAAGGCCAATCTGTGTTTTTAACCTTGTTTGAAAATTTCCTTTGAAGATAGGCTGTAATTGGAAAATAATGATTTATTTTGGGAGATTTGTCTGTGATCACATGTTCTTAACAGGAACCGAAAGTTAAGGAACTCATGAGTGAAGCCACCCACACAGAAGGAGCGACAGTCTGTGAATCTGTGTAGGTTGTGGGTGCCGAGTAGGTTAGTCATTCTGTGTCTCCCACGTTGTCGTGTCTGTGCATCTCAGGCTGTGCCTGAGAATAAACAGACTGTTCGAGAATCAGCAAACCATGTTTGTCATTGCCACAGCCTTGGAGATGCACCAGGCAGCTTCAGGTGGGCTCTCACAGTGCACCTCCAGGGTGGCTTCCCGTGTTTAAGTGGACTCTAATATTCCGTGCCCCTAGTGGAAGACTTGCAAAGAAGTTTGGAAATGCCTACAGGATGTAACGTTATGTAGCCATGTAAAAAGTCGTATTGAGGAAAGATACCCAGTGACATTGGAAAATATTTAATAGAAGTGCTGGATAATATTGACTGGTTATTTTAACACATACAGTAACACATTTAGTCCTCAAAAACTGTAAGTGATAAGTACCATTGTTTTCCCAAGTTCTCACAGTAGTAGTAACCACTAGGCAATACTGACCCCAGACTATGTATTACAATCTGCTTTTCATCTAACAAAACCACATGCCTTAGGTAATGATCACAATTTTCTTTTAAAAATTAGTTACATGTTTACATACATGTATAACCAGCTTTCTCTAGATGGTAAGACTATGGATGATTTAGGTGATCTTTATGTTCTTTTTTGTGCTTTCCAATATTTATGGATAACTTTTGCAAATAGTAGAGAAAAAAATAAGTAGATTCCTTTAGTGCTA